GACGTGAGTTTAGTTCGACAGGTGGGTAAAATACAATTGCAGAGAGGTGCTCATCTATTGCGATACGGGTCACATTTATCGAGCTTGTTGCCTTGCCATTCAATCTCAAGCCCGTCCAGCAGCCGCACAGCGAACATTGTCATATATGTGTAAGTAGAGAAGCATTGCCGACGAAGAAATGGGAGACTGGGATGGTCATTTCTGGCCATCATCAGCCAGTCATACCCAACCCCACCCCAGGGCAGGGCTTAAACTTCAGTCTGCCAAATTCTGTTCATACGTCGGCACGGACGCATTGTCGCCATGCTGTCCGTAAATCATCTACTAATAGAGTTATTTTCGTAGACACCCGAGACGAGACTACATCCATCCCTCACTCATCCCAATTTGTAGGAATGTTTCATTAGAGATTTGGTATCCTCGGATTAGTAAATGCCCGTTCTGATCATATGTTTCCTGCACGGTCCCAGCACCGATCATACTCAGTAATCTGTCTCCTCCTCATCCTCCTCCTCATCCTCATCCTCCTCCTCCTCTTCCTCCTCCTCTTCCTCCACCAATTCTACTAGTACTGCCGACATTCTCTCCCACGCGCCCCACCCCCCTTGATTACCGAGAACTAGGCTTCAGCCCTGAGGATCGAGTGCTATGTACGTTCAGCCGTCAGTCCTTCAAATGCACTTACATAGGACTGGCCCAGTCGAAACATAGGAACATCTGCAGTAATGCTTGACCTGTCCTGACTTCAGTCAAATTATTATGCTTCGTCTGACAGCATTAATGCCCTACTGCATAGAAATGCCATCTATTTCAACTTTCCAGACATCAGAGCTTTCAAAATGAAACAGTATTTTGGATGGGTGAACTGATTAACACAGGACGTCGAGTCTTCATATGAGTCCCTAAGAAGGATGCTTGGGAACCCGATTGATTAATACGCCCCACTAAGGCAAAACTCAAGCTGGCCTACTTCAATGATACAATTTACTGGAACAAGAAGTCCACTCACTTAAACTTTCTGATTCTTCCTCGAAAGCAGCATCTCGGACAGTCGCAGATATGTGCGTGGTGAATGCGCAAGGTTTTCTTTGACCATGTAGTCCACTGAAGATAAATGCTGCGTAAATAGCGCAGTGTGATTAAAAGTGGGCTTGTAAGAAACTGTGACAGAGATCTAGATTGCATTGAGTATTCCGTGATAATAAACACTTCGAAGAAATTCGAAGTGGAGTTCGACAATTAAGAGGCCATGACCAGCAATCTGGTTAATTTGTCTTTTAACGTTGCGGGATGGTCACATTTTGGGATTTCGCGGCGCCTGTTTTAGAAGTGCCTCAGCAAAGTAGGCCTCCATAATTTGTTTAAAGGTTTTCATGAGCGTGGTCAGGCATGGTTAATTTCTGTGGTTCATCCAAAGCACCTATGAATCTGAAATTTCCAACCAGATGTCTGTTGGCATCATTTATGCAACATTGGGCTTCTGCATGCGAGACATTTTCTGCTCAATGACAATGCCCAAGCTGCTGTCCATGCTGAGCTTGCTGTCACTTTAATCATTACATCCGACCAAAGGCAATAAATAAGAGAGCACCAGCCGACCTAGTCGATAAGCAGGCAAGAGGAGGAGTGGTGATCTGGCCGATGAGGGAGACTGGGAAGTGCGTTCAGCCGAAAATGAACAGACAACGTCAGAGAGTTTGGCCGACAACATCGGTTAAGAAGGGAATCCGAAAAAAGCGTAATCTGTGGAAAATCTTCTTACAATCGGGGACACCAGTAAACCTTCAATAAGTAAGACAAGAATGAACGTTTTGCAAAAGACTCCTCGTGAAGAACGCGCCTCCTATAAACTGAAGCTTTTGGAAGAGGCACAGCAAATACATAAAGCAATCTATGCATACATCAGGAGGAATAGGAAAATCCGAGACCACCTCGCAACCTTCAAGAACAAAAATAAACGAATTCGGAGCGATGGCTTCCAAAAACTGAGCTTCTATTAGAATTTTTCTAAAATGCTTATACCACGGAACCAACCCTCCAGTCCCGTTCTCTGCCACAGCTCGCCCACCAAACATCTACAAACGCACTATTATTTATACCGCTGCTAGTTTTGGCAGAGTTAAATAAGCAGAATGATATTACCGACAAAGACAAGGGAGACTGGAATGGCCATTTCTGGCTTATTAGCCGTCGTCAGCCAGCCATACCCAAGCCCGAAGTGTTGAACACCCGAGCCTCGAACTCGCGACCTGATGGTTTAGAAGTCAACGCCTCTACTCACCGGGCCACGAGCCCGTTGCCTTGTCGGTTTTCGATCGGGAATATACAATGTTAGGGGGCGCTCACCGATCGTGGATACGGAACTCACTCGTTCCGTTTTGCCTTAAGGGCTCTCTCTCGAGCCCAACCAGCAGCCACACAGCGGCGCATGATATATAGGCTATATATATATAGCACCGGGCTCGTGGCCCGGTGAGTAGAGGCGTTGACTTCTAAACCAACAGGTCGCGAGTTCGAGGCTCGGGTGTTCCACACTTCGGGCTCGGGTATGGCTGGCTGACGACGGCTAATAAGCCAGAAATGGCCATTTCAGTCTCCCTTGTCTTTGTCGGTAATATCATTCTGCCTATATATCATGCGCCGCTGTGCGGCTGCTGGTTGGGCTCGAGAGAGACCCTTAAGGCAAAACGGAACGAGTGAGTTCCGTATCCACGATCGGTGAGCGCCCCCTAACTGTGTTAAATAAGCTGGATCTGGCCAAGTCACCTAGTCCAGACGAAATCCCAGGTATACTCCTAAGTCAATTAGCTGAAGAACCAGCACAACCGCTTTGTACAATCTTCCAAATATTTCTGGAAATTGGCAAACATCCTGACACATGGAAGTTGACAGACGTCGTACCCATCCACAGGGCACAATCACGGCTAAATCCCACCACATACCGGACAGTGAGTTTGACATTCATTTGCTTCAAACTAATGGAATAGATAGTTAAAAAGTCATTTAAATCACTTGATACCTCAGTTCACATCAGCATGGTTTCTATGAAAAGAGGTTC